ATATTGACAGACTGATTGGTGCACTATCTTGCACCCTTCTCTCCTCACCCCTGAAAAAGACCCCAAGATATTTAAACTGCTCCACTTGGCAGCAACTGTTTTAGTGATTTTGTGTTATCCAAATAAAATTGAATTGAATTCAATAAATTAATTATTTATTAATTAAAGAGCATTGACCTGTTTTATGTTTTTAGGAGTGAAGCTTTGTGGATGATCCTTAAGCCTGTTAGCTCATTTCTGCCATTTGTAGTCGAGATATCATTCTTTCAGTTCATTTTTCAGAGCTTGTGACCACAGGTCGCTGAGCTCTCCCTTTATCATCTCAGATTTTGAGTTGTTAATTTTCATCCCAGTCACTTCACACGTGTTGCAAACTGCCCCAGTGTGAGCTGGATGTTGTTGTCATCGTCCATAAAAAGCTGAGATGAGATCCTGCAACCACCAAACCAGACACCCTTCACCACTTGGCTGCAACTGACCAAAGGTGAGAGATGGTTATTTTATACATTTTATTTTTCCAAATAACTGCACTAACAGTTGTCACCTAGGTTCTTGCTGATGATTTTGGAGCCCATTCCAGCACGGAGCAAGTCTTCAATTATGTCCCTTCAATCAACAGCTCTTTGGTCCTGCCCATGGTGGTGAGGAGGTTGGAACAGCAGATATCATTTCAGTGGACATGTGTGCATTATACACATACGTTGAAATGAAAAGTATCTGTAATTGACTGATTGTAGTCAGCCTGTGCGAATTCTGGTTGGGTTGTAGGGGAACAGATTCCTATTTCACTCAATGACATACAAAACAACCTTTTAATGTATTTTTAAAGATTCTTTTTGCTGATATTACGTCTCTCAATTAAAATGAAGCTACCATAAAAATTATTGCTGTTCTTTTTTTGTGATCAAATTTTAAATTTCTACAGGGGATCAAATAATTATTCCCCTGACTGGACCACCGGCTTGACATACTCAGTAAGCAAGAAACTTAAGGTAAGGGGAGATTCCAACAGATTTATTTGATATGGATATGAAAACAATCACATTTAATGAAACAATGTTTTTTTCTTAATGACAAGAAACAAATAATTTTGGATACATTTTAACACAGTATTAATACTGTGGTTTTAAGTGTCTGCCCCAGTTGAAATAAAATTTGACTATTCGTGCTTTAGTTTAAGATAATTCTTGTTAGCAGCACTGACATCTACAATTTTAGGTGTTTAAACTGAATTGGTTAACATGAAGAAATAAATACAATCTTCCTACAATACACTGTGAAGCTGAGTAAATCCACCCTTTAAATCAACATAAAAAAAGTCTTAATCACGACATTTTATTGAAATATACATTTCCATGTTTTTAATTACTTTAAATCACAACTTGAAACATCAATTTATTTTTAACTAACTCAAGAAAAGT